TGCTGCAACAATTTTGTAAAAATTGGAATTGAATAAAGGGAGGGGAAGGAGACATCAGAAGAAGCAAACGTGGAATTTCAGAACATACGAATTTTAAAATTGAGAATAAGTCCCTTTTTTAGTTAACCTAGAGGGCGCAATCCACAGCAAACCTGAGCCAATTCATTAAGCAATCCACAAATAAATGGAATCAAATCCATAAATGACAGTGTTGTCATTCTTTGAGATAAAGAAATCATGTAATATTAGACAACCGACAACTGGAAATCAACTGAACATTCTCTTACCGCCGAAATTGGCTGTCAGTTTGTTCCCACATCCACTAGCATGCACTTCCAAAGAAGCAAGACTGTAAATGATATTTTAAATGACTCGACAAGGTAATGTGCATCCATAAATTTCATTGTGCAAAAAGGAATCTGTCATTCTTGATGTGATATTTCATATTTAAACAGATAATAATGCATACTAAAACCAAAATCCTTCAACAATATGTGAATGCAAAAAGAAATAAAAAGTTCAACTTGCCAATTAAATCAATTGTAGTTCCATTTTCCACAGTGACCTTGGATATGGAAGCCCCTAAATCCAGGAGGAGTTGAACGGTTTCAACGTGCCCATTAAGTGCAGCCATATGGAGAGCAGTGATGCCGCCATCTGCAGGTCTATTAATGACCTCATAGAGTGCACTTAAAAGGGCAAAAGAAGTATTAAATTACTAAGCATACCGCAAATAGAAAATTTAAATAGTTTAAAAGAAAATTTCGATATTCAGTACCTATCATCAATTTCCGAAATAGATGCATCATTTTTTGATCTTTTCCTTAAGATGCTGTAAAAATTAGGAATGCTAGGAATGTAATCAGCAAGGAGAAGCCGGATACATCGGGAATGGCCATTCAGAGCAGCTAAGTGAAGTGCAGTTCCTCCGTTAAGATAATCACCTCTGTGGATCTAAAATTCAACACCATAATAAGTTGTGACCTTATCCCAGAAAAAGTCATTCAGTTAAAATATAGCAAAATATACCACTGAACGAACTGTCATACATTGGCTTTGAATAGAATCAGAGTCTGAACAACCTCCCAATGACCGTATTGACAAGCTTGCATCAGAGCAGTCTGTTCAAGCAATTAATCATCTATTTATTATATAGCATTGAAGAAATTGAAATTACAAATAAATACTGTCTTGTAAATAACCATCCAAATAAGAAGTGAAAGATAGAGGAAAAAGAGAAAAAGTTTACCTGCCCGCGATAGTTCCTGAGGTTAATATCAACTCCCGATTCAACTAAGAGGGAAACAATCTAAATACAAGGTACAAATAATATAATCACCATCAAGCACGGTTTCTTTGAGACTAAACATATTCCAAAAACTTGCACTGAATTATAAAATACCTCTTGGTGACCTTGAGCAGCCGAGTAATGTAGGGGAGAATTGCGAACACCAAAGGTCGAATACCTCACAAGGCGAGGATTATACTCCAATAAAGCCTTGGCTTCTTGAAGATCCCCGTCTCTTGCTGCAGAAACTAGACGCTCCCCAGATGCAGAACATCCAAAAGAATTACCCATAAGACTTAACAATCTCATACTTACCATATATTTACAATTCCTCAAATACAAAATTGAGGCTGAATCCCTTTTCGGTTACAAAAACTAAAATAACCCTATAGACACCCTTATACACCTGGTTCCTTGATCCTCGTACAATATGAGGAATCTCACCAATTTATCAACTTTTTTGTGCTCACAATTTCCTCGTTTCTTACCAATCTGTAACAACATTTGAGCCAATTTTTACCAGTGATAAAATCCAAAAATAATTTGGAGGAACTGTTGGAATTTCACTGAACTCTGATTGAAACTCCAATCTTTACTTCTCTCCAAAAGACACGGGTGGATAATTTCAACACCATAATCCCATTTGCAATTGCATTTTGATCTTTCAAGAAATAAAATATTCAATCTTGATAATGACAGTTTTCGATACAAATCAAATTGAACTTGTCAACCGCAAAAGACCAACAAAAAACAGAGCTGGAACGGAAAAATAAAATATTTTACCAAATATTTGTAACCTAATTCCCTCAGAATCAAGATTGTGCAGAGCTCATGTGAAAAAATTCCCGGAAACTCTAGATAGTTTTCAAATCTCACCAGAAATTTGCCTGAATATCAAGAATACCCAGATTCCAAATTTTCCGGGAAAATTTCAGAACAAAAACCCACCACCAAGATTTACATGCTTAATAAATATGAAGCCCATATTTCACATAACCTCTTAAACAAACCGCCTCCAAACCCCCAAGATACTCCTTTTTAAAAAAACGAGGTTAATAACATTAAATGACAGACAGCGATCCCACAAATATCTCTCTTCTTTTTCCTAATAATAAAAATGTTTCTTGAAATGAATGCTTAAAATTCTGATTGACTACCGTATATACGGATCGAAATATCTATATCAATAATATAACTGGGTATTGTGGGTGTGTGGTTGTAAAAGTTAAGAAAGGTGTCAAAGGGAATGGACAGCGAATTCATCGGCAACCTCAGACCAACAGCAGACAAACAGGGTGTTAAAGGGGAGGGACAACGAGTTCTGCGGCAACACCAGGCCAACATCAAACAAACGGGCCTGCAAGAGAAAGTGGGCACTTCATCATTGGTTCTTGTAATTATTCACATTATTGCCAGTCAATTTTAGGTAAAAGGCTTGTTATTCT